ATAGATTCTTCCATCCAGCTATTCATCCTCTTCAGATTTGTGAATTCAATTATATTTTCATAATTAATTAATTCAATGATTTTTCCATTCATCAATATGTCCTAAAAAGAGTCTGTTAAACACTAATTCATCTTTGATATATTCTCTCATTCATTATTCATTTATCAGAAGATTCTCTCATTCATTATTCATCTATCAGAGGATTCTCCCATTCATTATTCAATCCCAGCACTTCTTCATTCATTATTCATCTATCAGAGGATTCTCCCATTCATTATTAATCTATCAGAGGATTGTCCAATTCATTATTCATCTATCAGAGGATTCTCCCATTCATTATTTATCTATCAGAGTATCTCCCATTCATTATTCAATCCCAACACCTCTTCATTTATAAATTCATCTATCAGAGGATCTCCCATTCATTATTTATCTATCAGAGGATCTCCCATTCATTATTGAATCCCAGCACTTCTTCATTTATTAATTCATCTATCAGAGGATCTCCCATTCATTATTCAATCCCAACACCTCTTCATTCATTAATTCATCTATCCCTCCATGTTAACAATATTCTGTGTATTTATGCATCTATCATCTATTATCATAGATTATGTGTTAGAATCAGCGGGTAGGACACCAGGGTAAGCGGATAGATAGGCAGGATGTTCCAAAAAACTCTTACCACAAAAAAAATTTTGGAGACTTTTTTTTAAAGAAAAACCAAGCTAATTTATAAAAATAATGCATGAAAAATACCTTTCAGTGTATGTTTAAAGAAAGTGACCGGCAATGCATGGTATTTGAACTGAGAATGAAGTATTGCAATTATGGAGAAATTTTTTAGGAATCATTTGAGACATATAAAACGTTTTAATGATGTATAATTACTGGATTTGAGCGCAAAGTCGTCTTTCAAAATCATCCATGGGGGGGGGGGTACGTTTTTAGAATTCTTTAAAAATCATTACTAAACGACGAAAAAAAATGTATCAAAAATTCTACAGTAAACGAATTGGATGTTTAGGAACATATTTCTCATTGGAAATTTGTCAATAAGCCAATGTTAGAATCAATTATTTTTTTTCCATCATTATATCGAATTTCTTATTTTCTATTTTCTATAAAAATTTCTCCACAATACTACATTCTCAGTTCAACTACCATATATTGCCGGTCACTTCCTTTAAACAGTTTAAAAATTTAAACTGTTTATGACACTTCATGAAGATCTTCAGTTATTTTTAGGAGTAATAAAAAAACATACCTCAGAATAAACTTTTTTTTTACAAAAACCTTTGTAATAATAGTATATATTATATAATATATTATAAAGATTATTTGTTTGCATTGTTTTATTAGATGCACAATATTATCTCTAAGGCTGTAGAATCTGTGAGTTAGGGTTGCAGATTCTGAAACACCCTATAGAATCCATGGGTCGGGCTATTTTCTATGAAACACCCTGCAGATTACACAATAAGAACCAGACAATTCTTGTACAGGAAGACGACTTTTAGACTCAAGTTATGACTTAAAATTAAAATCAGACACATAAAGTGTGCAGAGTAAACAGACCCATTTCATTTATTACTGATTCAAAAAAAAACATTTTCTTTGTAACAACATTAAATACGCTTAAGTATTGCTACAATGTCGTCTTCCTATTCCACAGAATTCAAATTCTCTCTGTATGGTTCTTATAATATCCTCGTGGGATAGGATTGAATATTATGGAACACCCTGTATAATATAAAGATTTGGATTAAATATATTGGAACACCCTGTACAATATAAAAGTTTGTATTAAATATTATTGAACACCATGTACAATATATAGGGTTNTGGGTTTGGACAAGAGGGTTTGGCACAGCTCCATAACATTCAGTAAATTATTAAACCAAGGTTTTCAAGAAATTCGTAGATTTCATCATTTTCCCACCAGGGATATACTATAGATATCCTTGTAGAAAATTAGTGGGATATCCTTGTAGAATGCTATAGGGATATCTTGTTAGAACACTAGAGGGATATCCTTATAGAATACTATAGATATCCTTGTAAAATACTAGAGGGATATCCTTGTAGAATACTATAGATATCCTTTTAGAATACTAAAGAGATATCCTTGTAGAATACTATAGATATCCTTGTAGAATACTAGAGAGATATCCTTGTAGAATACAAGAAAAACATCCTTGTAGAATACTATAGATATCCTTGTAGAATATTAGAGGGATATCCTTGTAGAATATTTGAAAGATGTATCCTTGTAGAATACTATAGATATCCTTGTAGAATACTAGAGAGATATCCTTGTAGAATACAAGAAAAACATCCTTGTAGAATACTATAGATATCCTTGTAGAATATTAGAGGGATATCCTTGTAGAATATTTGAAAGATGTACTTGTGTAATACTAAAGGGATATCCTTGAAGAATAGTAAAGAGATATCCTTGTTGTATACTATAGATAGATATTCTTGTAGAATACTAGAGGGATATCCTTGTAGAATACTATAGAGATGTACTTGTAGAATACTAGATAGATATCCTTGTAGAATACTATAGATATCCTTGTAGAATACTATAGATATCCTTGTAGAAAACTATAGATATCCTTGTAGAATACTAGAGATATCCTTGTAGAATACTAGATAGATATACAAGTAGAATACTATAGATATCCTTGTAGAATACTATAGATATCCTTGTAGATGAATACAAGAAGAACATCCTTGTAGAATACTACATATATCCTTGTAGAATACTAGAGAGTATCCTTGTAGAATACTATAGATATACTTGTAGAATACTAGAGAGTTTCCTTGTAGAATACTAGAGGTACATCCTTGTATTGTTACTATAAAAATGTGGTATGAAATAAAAAAAACCTAAAGGCTTCAAACTGATGTGAGTAAATCAACAAAGTTGGCATTTTCTAACAACAAATATTTCTCCACGTTAGTGACTTATCATCAGCCCCACTTTCTGTTCGACCTTTAGCTATATACGAAAGAGCTAATACTTTGTCCTCTTTATAGGCGCCGGACTTTTTGCAATCAAAGCTTAGCTCCGGGTCCGTATGAGGACTGAAGGGGTTTCATCAATGGAACTATCCAATCAGAGAGTAACTCCTGGTTATGAGGAGTAATGAGGGGTCTTATAAATGGAACTATCTCTTTTCTGAGCTATTAAGCTCACACCGACCGGTTACAGTATAATACTATAGATATCCTTGAAAAATAATAGAGGGATATCCTTGTAGAATACTGTAGGGATATCCTATCTATCTATCCTATTTAAGAAACTCTGATGAATATTGTATCCCAAGAGTTGATAATGAATCTTTACGTCGATTTTCTTTCTTTGATTTGCCTAAATGTTGGAACAGTTTATTTCTAAATAATCCTGAAATTTCAAGTATTACTAAAAAACTTTCTTTTAAATCTACGATTAAAAATCATTTGCTGTCAAAGAGTGACAATTTTATTCGCAACAAACTATTTTGCTGGTCATGCTCTAGTTAATCGTCATTTTTTAACTGCATACACATAATATGACAATGGATTTTTAAGTCAAGCAATTTGCATTTTTTAAATCCTTCTTATAAAAATCAGGAAAAGGTATTGTTAATGGGTGGACCTGAAACTTTTGCTAATTTTTTTGCAGCGCAAAAAAATTAGGAATTAGGAATGGCGCCTCTGTTTCTGTTTTCTGCCTGCTGTCTCAAATCAAGAACCAAATTTATAACATGTTAATTGAGCAAATCTGACCCTGTTCCTCCGTCTTCTCCAAACCCAGTCCCACGACGTATCACATCAATTCAGTTCTAATTAATACCACGGTAAACTGCCAGGAGACCAACCTGAAAACAGCTCTGCTATGGCTGCTCTCCTTCCGTTGATAATGAATAGAAATTATATAAATATGCAATTTTTATGCACAACCTGTCATATTTTCAACGGAAAAATAAATTATTAGATTAGATTAGATTAAATCTATCTATATATCTATCTATCTATCTATCTATCTATCTATCTATCAAGGTCTTGGTCTACCCAATTCTTCCTTGGTTAAAGGTTGGCTGGCCATATAAAAAATGAAATATGAAAAGGTCAGTTTAAATAATAAGCTAAATAACCTGATGCATGCTAAAGAGAAAGAATCCGGAAAACGAGCATTTCCTACTTTTTAAAGTTCTTTTTGCAATTTTTCCTCTTTGTTATAGAGCCCGATTTCGTGATTTTTACACAATTTTATCATGAACAAGAATAGTTTTAAAGTTTAATATTTTTTAATAAATATTGCGAAGTGTCTCTTTAACTAAATTCCAGTTTAGAAAGGGAAATGTGTTTAGTTAGAAGGTTGATAACACAACGTGTGGTGTGAGACTGCGTATTTATATTATCGAATAAATTAACTTTTGTCCACCATTAAAACTACATTTTTTTAGATTTTTTACTTTTACATATAAGTTCTGTTCAACAGCTCCTTGCTTGATAAGTAACTTCTGGTCCTACTTATATAGTTTGTAAAGTGGAAAAAATATTTGGGAATACACACAATTTTGCCATACTTATCTGGCAGCATCAATGTACATATATTTGCAATGCATATTTTGCATTACATATTTTTGCAGTGCATGTTTTGCACCATATATTTTTGGAACGATTACATTTTTTACAGTGATTGAAATTACCTAATATACCAGTGGTAAATCGATGTTTAAGAATGTTTTAAACCTAAACCCTTTGGTGGTAAAATGTTTAAGGAAAAGTTTGAATAATTATTTAGATTTTCATGTACTGTGTACACTGTACAGTGTACACCAAAAGTTTTAAAATCTTTAGAATTCTTTTTATTTGTTAAAGTTCTTCATTTTTTAGAAAGTCTATAAACAACATGTTAAAACCTGTTTTTTTGCTGAGTCAATTTTACTATTGCATAATTATTGCACCCTAGACTGGTAGTATACCTACAGTATACTCAGTACAGGTTGCCTTGCAGGATACAGACTACAGTCTAATACAGAATACACAATACAGAATGATAGATTCAAAATACAGGATAAAGGATACAGATTACAGTGAGAATTAAAAGTAGATATACAGGTTTTATACCATCACTTTTTTTGTAGAATTTACTTGTTTATATACAAATTTTACGAAAGGAACCGACCAAAGAATAGAATACTTTAACTTGGAAGTAATACCTTTTTTGTTAATTTCTGTTGTACTAGAAAGCAGGAAGATTTAGAAAGCCTCAAGTTGATGATTTTTTTATTATTTATTATTTCAGAAAAATGATCAGTAAACTGATTCAGCATTAAAAGTTCTAACAAAGTTTTTATCTAATTCGTGAACAATAAATAAAATGGTGATCTTTTAAATTACATTGATTTAGAAGACAAACTAGATCTGATATGTTTTCAATAAAAACTCCTTTTATGAAAGAATTATTAAGAAGAAAAATGTTTTGAATTTATAACAATTTAACCAGATAAAGGAATGGAGTCTGTGCCAAAAACTCTGGTTTTCATCACTATATCTTTGGAACCAAATGTTGTAAACTTTAGATATTTCAAACTATGCATTCTGTTAGATCAAATAGTCTGAGTTTGAAATAGCAAAGGTTTACAACATCGTGTTTTAAAGATATTGGGGGTTTAAATATTTGAGTTTGTGGCAAAGACTCAATTCCTTTTCTGATATAATACTTGTATGTATTATCAAAACTAGAGGCGCTATCGAGCTCACAAAGACGTACCAGTAGTGTCGCATAAATTTGAACTTCTGTCTCGTTCTTTGAGAAACATGAAAAAAACAAGAATAAAACATAAATCGAATTGAAACATCTATTTAGGTCCGGTTCCGGATCATTTCTATTTTCCTCCTATTTCTCCCAGTTTCTCCACTGTACAGTGAGATTATCTCCGTGGTACAAGGAGAACAGGGAAACCTCCAGGTATAAGTCTTTTCCTAGTTCCCGATATGCCACCAGCTTCTCTTTTTCATTTTTTAAAATCTTATTATAAACCCTTTGATAAGGTTAGACCTGGAGTTGTAAGTGGATGGATTACTCAGGCAAACTTTACAAAGAAGTTTATTCAAACTGGTTGGAACTATTTAGGTATAACCTTTTATAACCCCGTCCTGCCCTGAGATACAATATGAAGATGTTTATTTTTAAATGACACGGGGTGGGGGGGGGNGGGTTGTCGCACTTCTCTTACTAAGATTGCGTCATTTAAGTTACTTGTAAAAACTTTGAAAGCAACGATGATTTAAAAGAGGTTAAGATATCCTGACAATTCAACATTTTTTTAAAATCCATAAACTTTAATAAGTGGAGATGAATATTAAAGTTGTAAAAGTCGATGTTATATGGCGCAAAATGGATTTATGATTATGAACTGTTGAAAATCGTATTACAATTACATTTTATGATATACTAGCTGAAGGGCCCGGCGTTGTCCGTGGAAAAAAATGCTGGCAAAAAAATATTGAAAAAAAAAATATTTCGATTTTATTAGCCTATATAACACCCCCCCCGGCCTTCCATGAGTGTCCACAAAAAGTTTCAGCCCATTCGGTCCAGCCGTTTGGCCGGCTATAGGCAACATATGTATATATACGAATGTCTCGTTTTATTATATAGATAATCGTTATATTTCCTTCAAACTGTGTAAATACAATACACAATTTATATTTTACAGCTAGTTTATTAAAATTAAAATCGCTGTTTTTTTGTTAATAATTTGCAATGATGCAAGATCAAGATAAATATCCACCATCCTCCTAATATACACAGTACTGCACAATGCACATAATGTGCAGGTCGATCTGCATTCTGCAACTTAAAGGGACTGTAAAAGTTGAGTGTCATGTCCGATTCACATTGGTAATTATTGTTCAGATTAAGGTTCCAAGGGTACTGTTGTGTATCGGGCATGCCATCTTGCAATTGAGGATCACTTAAATAAAGAGAACAGTCCCTTTGTCAAATCTTATGATATATTTTTCTACATTTTTTAATTCACAATTTCTTTAATATAGGCCCATGTTTTAAACGAATATGTTTCTGTTGGCTAGTTTCTATAGTTTTATAACTCTTTTTTTAAACAAATTTGATTGATAATACTTTTAATATTAGATTTTATCAGTAATGAACGTTATGAAGACGACCTGCAGGCGGTAGGAGCAGGACTAGCGGAGGGATATCTAACTAGTCAACTCATTCTACACTATTATAAAGGTAGGAGCAGGACTAGCGGAGGAATATCTAACTAGACAACTCATTCTACACTATTGTAAAGGTAGGAGCAGGACTAGCAGAGGAATATCTAACTAGTCAACTCATTCTACACTATTATAAAGGTAGGAGCAGGACTAGCGGAGGGATATCTAACTAGTCAACTCATTCTACACTATTATAAAGGTAGGAGCAGGACTAGCAGAGGGATATATTACTAGTCAACTAATTCTACACTATTATAAAGTATTTATCATCTTAAAGGAACTGTAGATCCAATTTAAAATTACTCTTTACTAATAGAGATCGATTCACAACGATTCCCAATACATCCCACTACTCTACATACAGAGGGGGCTACTTAAAAATAAGTTTACAGTTCCTTTAAGTCTCACAGTCTTTGAACCCTATCATATTAAAAGACAAACATATTTATGTAATTCTTTTAGATTTAAGAATATCGTTTCTATCTTTTAAACATATTATTTGTTCAGAGTTTATCGCTAAAGATTTGTGTATACCGGATCCAAAATTTTGTACCTGGGTCCTGGAAATCCTTCACACAAACAAAAAGTGGGCCCTGGAACAAGAGGTTTCAAATAAAACAGACTACTGGAAGATGGTCAGGTAAAAAGTGACAAAATTTGGTTGAAAACTAAAACGCTTTTCCAATAATTGTTTTCAGATTGTTTTACAAACAAATGGAAGGAATGAAGCAAGGGTTGAAAATGAAGAATCCAGGTTGGTTTCTTTTTTTTCTCTCCGTGCAATCCACTCCAGGCAAGTCAGGATTTACTCCAATAAAATTGTACCGGCCAGGCCCTATCCCTGTATTGTACCGTATCTGTTTTATTTTTGTCGTGCTGGGATTCTTTTTTTAAACGATATAGCAAGATGTATCCTTGTAAAATTGATATTTTTTCTAAAATCATTTTCCTACTCTCTGTATGTTTTGATGGCGAAATTTGTCGGTTGGAATCAATTTCGAACTTGATTTAGATTCCTGGTTAGATATCTTTGATAAAGGAATTTTTTAATATCTTTGCAACCTAATGTCTTTAAACCTTTAATATTTTAAACTTAGATTATTTAATCTAACAGAATTCATAGGTTGAAATGTCAGAGGTTTGCACCCTCGGGTTGCCGAGATATAGGGATTAAAAATCAGAGTTTGTTGCAAAGACTCAATTTTATTTTTATAATGAACTCTAATACGCACGAAATTGTTAAATTTTTCTTTAGATAAGACTGGTTTGGAACTGGTTGAGATGAAATATGAAGATATTGTTCTTCTGATCAACTTTTTACCAAACTTAGGGATTCAATCTTCATCATCTGTACATTAAAAGTAATATTTGCATGGAACTAAATATTTGTTATTAAATATTTCATCAAAAGAATTCAGTGTTTGCCACAAACTCAACCTTTCTATAAATCCCTTCAGCTGTTTAATTTAATAGTTTAAAATATAGAATCGAAATGATTGTATAGAATTTCTTTAAATTTGTTAAAAATCTTTTTTTAACAAATTCTTTAGGATAAAAATATATCTATAGATAATCTAGATTCTCATGAAAAAGATATTAAAAAGACTTTGATTATTTTTGATGTTATAAAAAGTAAATTGTTTAATGATTGTTAAAAAGCATAAAAATGTCCCGAATACATAAACTATCTATTGATGAGATGAAGAAAATTATAAAATCAGGAGATTTTTTACAAAAATACAAATCCGAGAAAAGAAAGGTAAATATTTTATTTTATTTTTCTCACGAAACCTTTGTGGGATGAATAATCTCGAAACCTCTAATCTAGGAAAGTCAAGGATTGGAAGTGTTGTACTAAAGGATCGAAAATTGAGTCTTTGCCACAAACTTAAAAGTTCTAATCCCTATATTTTTTCAAACTGATAGTGTAAACCGTTGATTTTTCAAACTATTTATTTTGAAAGTTTAAATTATCTAAGGTCTCCGACATTGGACTGCAAAAATAAAGGATTTTTGTACGGGCCCAGACCTATCCCTGTGCTTTGAGTGTACTGTACTGGGATTTAAATTTTTGTCGATTTCATATACGACATTTCAAAAGTGATTTTCACCGCATCCAACGAGCTTATTCTTTGACTCCAGGTATCCTTTCCGTCCTGCTCAGCTCTAGGATATTTCATGGTTCCAGGTATTCTTTCCGTCCTGCTCAGCTCTATTCAAGGTGTTATATTTCTTGGTTCCAGGTATCCTTTCCGTCCTGCTCAGCTCTAGTATATTTCATGGTTCCAGGTATCCTTTTCGTCCTGCTGAGCTCTAATCCAGGTTTTATATTTCTTGGTTCCAGGTATCCCTTCCGTCCTGCTCAGCTCTAATCCAGGTTTTATATTTCTTGGTTCGAGGTATCCTTTTCGTCCTGCTGAGCTCTAATCAAGGTTTTATATTTCTTAATTCCAGGTATCCTTTCTGTCCTGCTCAGCTCTAATCCAGATTTTATACTTCTTGGTTCCAGGTATCCTTTCCGTCCTGCTCAGCTCTAATCCAGGTTTTATATTTCTTGGTTCCAGGTATCCTTTCCGTCCTGCTCAGCTCTAATCCGGTTCCAGGTATCCTTTCCGTCCTGCTCCGCTCTAATCAAGGTTTTATATTTCTTGGTTCCAGGTATCCTTTCCGTCCTGCGCAGCTATAATCCGGTTCCAGGTATCCTTTCCGTCCTGCTCAGTTCTGATCAAGGTTTTATATTTCTTGGTTCTAGGTATCCTTTCTGTCCTGCTCAGCTCATGGTCCAGGTTCCATATTTCTTGGTTCCAGGTATCCTTTCCGTCCTGCTCAGCTCTAATCCAGGTTTTATATTTCTTGGTTCCAGGTATCCTTTCCGTCATGCTCAGCTTTAATCCAGGTTTATCCTTCATGGTTTCAGGTATCCTTTTCGTCCTGCTCAGCTCTAATCAAGTTTTTATATTCTTGGTTCCAGGTATCCTCTCCGTCCTGATCAGCTTTAATCCAGATTTTATTCTTCATGGTTCCAGGTATCCTTTTCGTCCTGCTCAGCTCTAATCCAGGTTTTATATTTCTTGGTTCCAGGTATCCTTTCCGTCCTGCTCAGCTCTAATCAAGTTTTTATATTCTTGGTTCCAGGTATCCTCTCCGTCCTTCTCAACTCTAATTAAGGTTTAATATTTCTTGGTTCCAGGTATCCTTTTCGTCCTGCTCAGCTCTAATCAAGGTTTTACATTTCATGGTTCCAGGTAACCTTTCCTCCCAGCTCAACTCTAATCAAAGTTTTACATTTCATGGTTCCAGTATCCTTTCTTCCCAGCTCAGCTCTGATCAAGGTTTTACAATTCGTGGTTCCAGGTATCCTTTCCTCCCAGCCCAGCTCTGATCAAGGTTTTACATTTCTTAGTTCCAGATATCCTTTCCGTCCTGTTTAGCTCTAATCAAGGTTTTATAAATCTTGGTTCCAGGTATCCTTTCCGTCATACTCAGCTCTAATCTAGGTTTTATATTTATTGGTTCCAGGTATCCTTTCCGTCCTGCTCAGCTCTAATCAAGGTATACGAAGATAATATCATCATCAGTCACAGTACTTGGCATGAATACAGATCTTTGCATTACAGGTAAGTAAATATTTTTAGAAACTATTTTTTCCCTTTTTCTGTTTTTTTGTTTTTATTTGATTTTTTTATGTCATTTGCTTTCTTTTTTAGTTTTAACAAATGCCATTGGTCTAACTATGTAGATATATGATTGGCTTGTCTATTTTAATAAATTTTTTTTTTGCTACCAATACACGCCAGAACGGCTAAACTGATCAGGCCTAAATTTTTGTGGTAACTCAATTGGCCACAAGAAAGGTTTTCAGAATACAAAAATTTGCCTCAAAATTATTTTAATTTTTCTATATATCCCCCGAAATTATCTATTTTGTATTAATATTATTTCAAAATGAATGAAAGGTTTGGAGACAGATCATCAAGGAAAATCTAAGATTAGACCAAACAGATTTACTCCCTTTAAATTTAGGTTGATTTAGGTTGTTGAAGCGGTATATCCTAAACTTTCATGATACAGAGGGTCAGCTTATACCTGGATACAAAATATCCATGTCCAGTTATGCAGGTATATCCTAAACTGTCATGATACAGAGGGTTAGCTTATACCTGGATACAAAATATCCATGTCCAGTTATGCAGGTATATCCTAAACTATCATGATACAGAGGGTTAGCTTATACCTGGATACAAAATATCCATGTCCAGTTATGCAGTTATATCCGAGAGACAGAAATAATTATGTGAAATCCTAAAATTACAGTTTCTGCTTTGAGGGGTATTTTGCTTGTGTTTTTTATTGCTTTTATAGTTTGATTTTGTTTTTGTTCGTGCTTAAACAGTCAGTTTCATTTATGCGTGATTTTTTTTTATAATTTGCCAATATCTTAATTTTGAAAGTAAAAAAGTTCTACATTTCTCGTTCTCCAGGTACAATATATAGTCTGGATGATTTTTATATTCTCTCTCCTCTGGAATAGTTTCTCTTGAAACTACTTTGTTCGTTTTTAACCAGACTCTCTTCCAGGATCTGAATCCACTAGGACGGGTTTTGGAACCAATTAGGTCAGTAGAGGTTGAGGTTTATGTGGCCCTCTATAAAAAAAAGCCGTACATACATTAGTACCCTTGAAACCTTAAAGTTGAGTTTTATTATATCTGGCAGACAACTGATTGTACACGTAATGTCAAGCCACGCACATTTTGTGGATTGACATGTCCAATTCACAATCATATAAACCTTCAAACCTTTGCTCGAGCAAGGGTGAGGTATCATTATTTTTAAAGAAGAAAATTGAGTACAGGGAGACTTTAGGCAGCATAGTTAATCTTCGATATGACATAGGTTTATAAAGGGTTCAGTACTGATGTACTTCGGACACGACACTCTATGGATGAAGCATGAAAATTACGAGTTTTATCTGTCTACCAAATCTAGTTAACTTAGGAGATGGAATCAGGAATAAAAAGAAAAAACAGTGTATTAATCTATAGTGGTCACAATATTAATCTATAGTGGTCACAATATTAACTATAGTGGTCACAATATTAATCTATAGTGGTCACAATATTAATCTATAGTGGTCACAATATCAAAATAAATCTAAAACTTTCAAAGGATGTTAAAATTTTTATTTTCAGTTTACTTATTGCAGGGTAATGGTTTCCAACCGTCTGGCCACATCATCTTCATCATGGGCGAATATATTTGAGAAGTTTAACTGCGGAACATATAATAATCAATGGATGATTCTAGATTATAACAAGGTAACAGATATTATAGATTATAATAAGGTAACATATTCAATAGATTATAATAGGGTAACAGATTAAATAGATTATGATAAGGTAACAGATTCAATAGATTATAACAAGGTAACAGATTCATTAGATTATAATAAGGTACAATATTCAATAGATTATAATAAGGTAACAGATTCGATAGATTATAATAAGGTAACAGATTCAATAGATTATTATAAGGTAACAGATTCAATAGATTATTATAAGGTAACAGATTCAATAGATTATAATAAGGTAACAGATTCGATAGATTATAATAAGGTAACAGATTCAATAGATTATGATAAGGTAACAGATTCAATAGATTATAATAAGGTAACAGATTCAATAAATTATAATAAGGTAACAGGTTTAATAGATTATAATAAGGCAACAGATCCAATAGATTATAATAAGGTAATAGATTCAATAGATTATAATAAGGTAAAAGATTCGAAAGATTATAATAAGGTAACAGATTCAATAGATTATAAAAGAGTAGCAGATTTAATAAATTATGATAAGGTAACAGATTTAATAGATTATAATAAGGTAACAGATTCAATAGATTATGATAAGGTAACAGATCCAATAGATTATGATAAGGTAACAGATTCAATAGATTATAATAAGGTAACAGATTCAATAGATTATAATAGGGTAACAGATTCAATAAATTATAATAAGGTAACAGGTTTAATATATTATAATAAGGCAACAGATTCAATAGATTATAATATGGTGTCAGATTCTATAGATTTTAATAAGGCAACAGATTCAATAGATTTTTAATAAGGTAACAGATTCAATAGATCATAATAAGGTAACAGATTCAATAGATTTTTAATAAGGTAACAGATTCAATAGATTATAATAAGGTAACAGATTCAATAGATTATAATAAGGCAACAGATCAATAGATTATAATAGGATAACAGATTCAATAGATTATAATAAGGTAACATGTTCAATAGGTTATAATAATTATAATTCCTATGAAGTCATCTGCGTTACTTTTCTAAGTGTTTCAAGATTAATGATGAGCGAACATGAACATGAACATGAACATGAACATGAATATGAACATGAACATGAACATGAAAATGAACATGAACATGGATATCAAGTTTCTAGAAGGGGATACCTAAATTCCCAATATTTTAGCGAAGTCCCCTTGCACGCCACCGGAGAAGGGTTAGTACGCCACTGAATGTACAGAAAACTAAGAAATAATTATTTGAATTAAAAAGGTTTGATTGTAAACTTGAAAGTTCTTTTCAGATTGGTTCTGACTCTGGTTTACTGCATGTACTTGAACAGCTGCCTGGTCAGATCATGCAGAAAGATTTGACCAGTATTCTTACTCAACAAGGTAATTATAATCATAATTTATTAGTTCAAAATTAGTTTTTATTTAAGAATTTATTATTATCATTTCAAGTTTTTTTTATAAAAGATTAAGACAAAATTGTAAAATATTATTTTGATAGAAATGCATGATTTCACAGTATATCCAATATTTTTTCCATATGTACCATGCACTGCGCCCTGAAAGAGGGTCAGCTTATACCTGGANGACAAGACAAGACAAGACAAGACAAGACAAGACAAGACAAGACAAGACAAGACAAGACAAGACAAGACAAGACAAGACAAGACAAGACAAGACAAGACAAGACAAGACAAGACAAGACAAGACAAGACAAGACAAGACAAGACAAGACAAGACAAGACAAGACAAGACAAGACAAGACAAGACAAGACAAGACAAGACAAGACAAGACAAGACAAGACAAGACAAGACAAGACAAGACAAGACAAGACAAGACAAGACAAGACAAGACAAGACAAGACAAGACAAGACAAGACAAGACAAGACAAGACAAAACAAGACAAGACAAGACAACCCAGGACAAGACAAGACAAGACAAGACAAGACAAGACAAGACAACACAACACAACACAGGACAAGATAAGAGAAGACAAGACAAGACATGACAAAGACATTACAAGACAGAAAAGACAGGACAAGACAACATCCCATCTATTATTAGGAAATGTCTGAGAGGTTTGGTGATTGGTTCTCCTATAATAATACTCCACGAGCTAGAATATTCCGGTCAAACCAGCAGACGGTCCAGGACAAGGAGACTATGTACAATTTAATGAGGTATCCGTTAAAATAAAAGTATAAAACAATTACATTTCCAAAATTACTCATCATAAGATGGAATTGAGTCGTTACCACAATTACAATTTTTTCAATCCCTTAATCTTTGAAACCCGATGGTGTAAACCTTTAAATTTTCAAACTTAGATAATTTGATCTACCATAATTTATGTTTGAAATATCAATTCATTTCTTTTGCAATTTACATTAATTTTCATCTTTTGTATTTTTATTCCTTCCTTATAAGAAAATGTTCATCATTTTTTTATTGAACAATTTTTTTTTATTTTGATTGATTTAAACTTATTGCAGATCTAACAACTACGGCATATCCAATGAAGGCCAAGTCCAAGGCTGCAATGGTTCAATTCCTGCTGCAGCGATAGCAGCTAGGTACTTTAGAAATTAAAAACAAATTTAGGAAGAACAAATTCCGGAAAGGACAAATTCAGGAGAAAAAATCCGTAGACAATTACTGGAATATACTAATTGCGGAAAGGTAGTTTCCGAAATATTCTTGAACCAATACGCTCAGCCTTCTAGCAGCGCTCGGCCCTATGCTCAGAAGTCATAACGTAACCTTGCCCTAGATAATTAGACTGACGTTTAAAAAATTTCCGGAATTATCCCTCCATGAGTTTGCATTTCCGAAACTTGTCATCTCGCCTTCGGAAACTCCTTCTGTACAGGTTTCAGTAACTACTTTTTACAGGGTACTGATTTATTGATTTATTTTTATAGATTGCTATGACAAGTTGAATCAATATTTACGACTTGGTCGACTTAAAGTATTGCAAAGTTTTGACTTTTTTCCCCTTACTGACTTAACTTTGCATTTTTTGCAGTGTTTATATTCATTTTAACCCTATTCCTGCTGGGGGGGGGGGGGTCAATTTGACCCCCCCTGTAGTTTTTTTTACATAACTCAAAAAGTATTGATCTGAGGCTGTTGAAATTTTCTGACTTTATTTACATACCCAAAGCCCTCCCTTTAGGCCTAAAACCGGGCTTTAATACTAACTGCCTGAGTCCTCAGGCACACTGCCTGAATGACTTCTTTTGCCTGTAACAAACTAAATCTTTGTTTTGACCCACTTTCACTTGTCTGATTTTGATAAAATTTAGCTTTTTGGAAAGCCTATGACATAAGGAAACGGATTGCACAAGTTTTGCGAAAAAAAAATTTCAAATTTTTTGCAAACAACCTGCCAGGGGAAATTTGCACATTTTTAGTTTTTCTTGATTAAAAATCAGGTTATTTAATATTTTGCAAAATATTTTGCATATTTGAAATGGCATGGTCAAGGGCTTTTTAAAAATGTATAATTTGTCATTTTTTGGACAAATTTTTTTTTGCAAACATTTTTACTATAAAACTGGATTTTGCGATAAAAAATTCAATTTTCGCAAATTTGCAAATTTTTTTGCAGATTCTAAAAGTAAAGCACAAGAGCTTTCTAATGATGTATCATTTGTCATATTTGGACATAAAACATAAATTGACCCCCCCAGCGTATCCTGGTTTTCAAGTACCCCAGCAGGGATAGGGTTAAAGCTAAGGAATTGTTTTAAGTTTTAGTTTTAAAGGCGTAATTGGCAAAATGATCTACGATTTTTGCGAGAGATCTATCAACCTTTGGATCTCTGTTTTCAATATCTAGGACGGATCTCCAAGATGAAAATGTAGAATGTACATGGAGACAGTTTGATTATATGGAAGGAAGGAAAAACTACGGAGCTCTGGATGTGAAAATTGTCGACAGGAAGGATAATCATGGAAAGTCCAGGTTTAATCAGTGGGATTGATTTTATGTTAATATTTCCAGTTAAACTTTATATCCCTATGCAGAGGCCAGATTAATATCCCGGTTCATAATTTAACATTTACTTTTGTTAAAAACATTATTTACCTTTATTTTTTTTTAAACAATTACGTTCTTTTTTATCAATAAATGCTAAACCCCAAAATGTAAATATACTGAGTTCTCAAACTCAAATTTGCTAATCCCTATATCTTTGCAACCAAATGTCGTAGAAATTTTAAAGGTTTACACAATCAGATTGCAAAGATATAAGGATTATAAATTTGAGTTTGTGACAAAGACTGAATTACTTTCTGAATGCATGAAATCATATAGTTCTGATATACACCATGGAAGCATATTGGCTGAAAACGGACCTACTCATTCTGGTGGAATAGAACCTTTCTCATGGTCAGATGCAGGTTCGTAGGATTGATCAAACCTTGCAGATATCACGTCAAACTATAGTAAATTTCAGATATCACGTCAAATTATAGTAAATTGCAGATATCACGTCAAACTGTAGTAAATTGCAGATATCACGTCAAACTATAGTAAATTGAAGATATCACGTCAAACTATAGTAAATTGAAGATATCACGTCAAACTATTGTAAATTGCCGATATCACGTCAAACTATAGTAAATTGCAGATATCACTTCAAACTATAGTAAATTGCAGATATCACGTCAAACTATAGTAAATTGACGATATCACGTCAAACTATAGTAAATTGCAGATATCACGTCAAACTGTAGTAAATTGCAGATATCACGTCAAACTATAGTAAATTGCCGATATCACGTCAAACTGTAGTAAATTGCAGATATCACGTCAAACTATAGTAAATTGCAGATATCACTTCAAACTATAGTAAATTGCCGATATCACGTCAAACTATAGGAAATTGCAGATATCACGTCAAACTGTAGTAAATTGCAGATATCACTCCAAACTATAGTAAATTGCAGATATCACTTCAAACTATAGTAAATTGCAGATATCACGTCAAATTATAGTAAATTGCCGATATCACGTCAAACTATAGTAAATTGCCGATATCACATCAAACTATAGTAAATTGCAGATATCACGTCAAACTATAGTAAATTGCAGATATCACGTCAAACTATAGTAAATTGCAGATATCACTTCAAACTATAGTAAATTGCAGATATCACGTCAAACTATAGTAAATTGCAGATATCACTTCAAACTATAGTAAATTGCAGATATCACGTCAAATTATAGTAAATTGCCGATTTCACGTCAAATTATAGGAAATTAAACGAAAAGTTGAAATTTTATTTGTTTTAAATCCTGACTACTTTTATTGAATAGCTATTGAGAAGAACAAAAATGTTTTGGAATTTCAATAATATGTTTTTGGATAAATTTCCTTTTCATAATATAAAAACTAGTTGAGCTTTAAGGTCACAAAGCTATCCAGTAATGTCGCTTGAGTGTGACCTTCTTCTTCTGTCTAGTTGACAGTGACACAGTGATATTGATACAACTGTATTTTCTTAAAATAATCTTAAAGGGATTGAGTTTTTGCCACAAACTAAAATCTTCTGATTCCAATATCTTTGTAATCTTATGGTGCAAACCTTTGATATTTCAAACTTAGACTATTTAATCTATAAGTATTAATAGTTTGAAATATCTAAGGTCTACGATATTGGGTTACAAAGATATAGTGATCAGAAAATCAGAGTTTGTGGCAAAAACTCAACTCCTTTTAGATATTCCTGACTATTCTCCTGTAAGAACATACAACTTCTCTGCTGTGCATGTGACCTGGAGAGATACTGATGAAACTCTTCCAATCCAACCCAGATCTGGTTCAGAACCCGGAGCAACCTCGTATCAATTCATTCTGCTTTCCATCCTTCTAGTCAGTCTCAGATATTGGGCTCTATAAATATATATATACAGATTTTCATTCAAGGTTCCATGAATTTTGTATTTTTTTAAAGTGATGATTATTGTAAAGGAACATTATCTATAACTTATTCTTTAGTATGTTAACTATACAATACAATGACTATATATTGAAAGCTGTATAAATTCTAATCTATAATAAAGCTCTTCGCTCATGTATATAATTGTATATATTTCAGTTTTTAACTTCACATTTTTTTATTAAAAAAGAATTATACTAAACATAATGTTTCACGTCTATCATTACGATCCTCAGTAGTTACAATTCTTGAACAATTAAAATTCCAAGATTTTTTCATCACATCACATCATAATTGTATATATGTAGCTGTACCTGGCCAAACGGCTGGACCAAATTGGCTGGCATTTTTTGAGGAAACTCATGGGTACCTTGTTTTTCCTTCAAAATTCGATTTATTTTTTTATATCACAGGCAACGCCGGGCACTTCAGCTAGAAAAGCATATTTTTAGTATTTTTTTTATCTAAACACCATGCAATATTATGGAAGTATGATTTTAAAAATGAGATTTCTCTGATTTTTGGACCCCATCCTTCAATCTGAACTTCCAAATCCATTTTTCAAAATTCTGGGCCGAGAGGAATTGAAGGCTGCACAATATATAGTGTTTCATTAACATCAGGATATTCGAGTTTATTTTGTTAACACCTTCGTTCATATCAGACCAGAGCCGAGAAGGCCGTTCCTGTCATAGATGAGTTAAGACGACCAACTAAAACGAATAAATCAATCCTCTACTAGCTGTATCTATATATTTTTATATATATTTGTCTGTCTGTCTTAATGTTTGTATGTCAGATCATAACTCATTGGCCCCCTTGACCGATTTGCCTCAAATTTTGATTGGGAAACTCGACAACAAACGGAATGTTCTCAGCTTGGTTTTAAAATTTGATGTGAAGTTGGTTGAATTTGAAAGTTGAATGTGTAAATGCCAGGCAAAGCTGGGTTCCCAAGCTAGTAGTTTATAAACAAAAATGTAATGTTAGATGGGGTAATGCGTTCTCAAATACCTTCAATGTACAAAATGGAGTCAGACAAGGAGCAGTTTCTTCCCCTGTGCTATTCTGTATTTACATTGACAAAATTATCAAGTTATTACGATGTTCAACTATTGGATGCCAAACCCAGGGTGTCTATATGGGCATCTGGGTATATGCAGATGATATTATCCTGCTTTCTACTAACACAAAATTCTATTGATTTATGAATTGAAAATTGCCACGTACTTATCCCTGATCATTGAATAAACAAGTTGAATTGATTAATTTTCTGAAGTGGAATAAAAACTATCTGTAAATAACGACAAAACCTTCTCCAAAACTTCAAAAGAATGTTACAGCACTAAAATGGAGAATTATAGTTTATCATTCAGTACATTATGTTAAGCCTAAAACAAGAGTTTTAAAGAAGTGTATTTGTTTAATGTAATGATATTGATATTTTGTAAAATTATTACAATTTTGGCCTCATGATCATAAATTAAGCCATATAAAATCTTCTACTGGTATGCATAAAAAAATAGCTAAGTAAAAAATGAGCTATTGAAAGTACTGTATATGAAGAGGAATTTAAATTTAAAATTCACTGAAGCCTTTCTTTTTCAATTTCAAACTCTCATAACAATTACAATTTAATAGTTTATATATTATTATAAGTAAATAAAGGTAGCCAGGAAAGAAGAATATTGGAAAACATGATTAAAACATTAAATATTTGGTAAAAAAATATACTTTTAAAAAAATATTTTAAGATTTCTCAAATATTGTTATTTCACTAAGAAAATTTCATGTTAGATCTTATTGTTCAAGAATATAAAAGTATGAAACTTAAAGAAGATCCTGAGAAATTTTCAGAAAATTCATCAAATCAGAATTCATCTGTATCAACTGTATCCAATTTATAAGATTAAAAGATAAGAAATTGTTTAAAACACGTTATTCATTTCTATAAAACAAACATTTGTTTCTGTAACTCGCCAACATTCCCTTTAAGTTTTGTTTTAAAGAGCATGTCGAATTATTCGGTTGAGTGAAGAGAAGAATAAAAACAGAAAATATTTCTGGCAAAAACTTGTGAAAGACTGTAGATAAGTTCAGGTTTAATTAAGAAATCAGGTTTTCTGTGATATGCGAGCAATCTGTCATTTCTTACAAAACTTGGTGAAAAACTTACTTAACAGCCTTTTATCTGTTATCTAGTAACCAGTTATGTCATTGTCATTCGGCAACAGTCAAAAGTAAATCTAATTTATTTTACTAAGATTCTATCGATACTTCTTCTTTTCAATGTTACTTTACCTGTGAGCATTTTTTTGATAGTATAAAGAACAAGAACACGAAAAGGATTTCACAGATTTTTTTTTGGAGACTTAATTTTTTTAAAATATTTGTGAAATGCAAAAACGTTTTTATTATTTATACACAATTTTAGACAGTTAAAATAAAAAATTATTAAAATAAATAATTTAAATGCGTATTTTTTTAACTCTGAAATGTCGTCTTCCTTTAACATTATAAAAAAAAAGAATATTTATTCGAGGTAACGATGCTCTTTCCAATCAAAATACATTGATAAACATCAACGATTGTTTTGAAATTCCCTTTAATTGTTTTGAAATGGTTAAAACTATTGGTGGCTCCAGCCATAAACCACATAGATTAATTCATTTGTTTCAACGTTTAAATCCAAAAAAACAACCCGATAGATTTGATATATTTACATAAAATATTTTTTGTGGCTTAAAAAGAACTGTATACAGATTAACTGTTAAATAAGGTGAAGAAAAAAGTCCTGAAAGGTTTTGTGTGCATATTTGTTAAATCTATGCTAAAGAGACTCTTTATGCACCTAGATAACGATAGATAAAATAGATACTAATCTGACAGTCCAATTAAAGATGTCATATTATGGATCGCAAAATGTGTGTCACTACAAACTAGACAGAAAGAGAAGGTATAATTCATGTAGGATTACTGAGACGAGAAAAAAATAATCCTGTTACATATTAGAAATTATTTTGTTTTCCTTAAAATCTCTTCAATATAAGTTTTGAATTTAGGGTTTGCAGCGAAAAGAAGAATCGTCTCTCGAAATTTTGCATTTTTCGCGAACATTTTCACATTTTTTCGCATTCCTTTGCTTGCGAAAAATGCGATTTCGCTTCAATATGTTTCGCGGAAAAATGCGAAATTTTGCATTTCGCGAAAAATATGTTCGCAAAATTTCGCATTTTTTCGCTTCATTCAATTTCCCGAAAAAATGCGAAATTTCGCATTTTTTGCGAAACGTTTCGTTCGCTGCAAACCCTAGCTATGATATACTATACTATATACTATATTATGATATACATATAAAATTTTAATTTTTTACGTGAAATTTACTTTGGTTTGACGTGATGTTTGCATTTGTACATTTTTATCTATTGGAAAACGAACGTATAAAAACTACATGTTACTTATAAAGAAATAGAAATAGTTTCAAAAATACAATATGTGATAAGAAATAATGAGGCAAAGCTAGATATGACTTTGATTTCTTAGAATTGTTTTTACAAAGCCCCCGCGTGGAGGTTCATCACAAAGTAACTGAGTTCTTGTCACAAACTCTGATATTCTTATTCCTATATTTTTGCAACCCGATGAGGTAGTTATTCGAAAAAATCTTGCTTGAATTAAGAAAGGTTTACAGGTTTGAAAAATTTGATTTTGTGGCAAAAACTTAACTCCTTTTCACAGATTTTTGTTTAGAGTTAAGTTAATTTGTAATTTCAATACAAATAGTTATCACTGTCCTTTGACAGTGTGTACATTGTACATGAAAATATGAATATTGGTTTTGAAATACATTTTATGGAGTCTTATAAAAGATCCTGAAGAAATAATGTATATTATTGAAGATAGATTCAATCTGTATTCTACATATTTATATATATATATATATGTATATGTATCTGAATATTGAAATATATGACAGAATAAATATATAATGATATATCTGGGTTGGTTTATATACAGTTAAACACGATAAATTACGTAGATCACACACAGCGCAGTCACGAACCCCTAGCCTTTACCATACCCTGGATATACAGTTTAAACCATGGCAATAATAAATAACTAGTGCTTCAAGCTTTTGTATCGTTAATCCCTTCAGATAACACTAATCCGTAAATTTTTTAGTTCTACAAAATAAGTTAATTTTTTCTGGATATCTCCAAAGTACAAAGTCAGTGTTTTTTTTACAGAATTCGTACTTAATCAAATCAATGAAAAGTTTTCATACTGGAAATCTAGTTTAGGCCCTGCTGATTAAGGTTAAAGAAAAGAACTGACCTCAGAATAGTAAAAATTATTATATAAAATTTAGTCTGTCAGTGTCAACTGGGAATTTAGGCCCTGCAGATTAAGGTTAAAGAACTGACCTCAGAATAGTATAAATTATTACATAAAATTTAGTCTGTCAGTGTCAACTGGGAATTTATGGGAAAATGTTATGAAATTTTAAAAACCTTATAATACTACTTTAATAGTCTTTTTAATCACGCTTTGGGGTAGATGAAAACTCCAGGAGCTACAGTGATAACCAAAAAACAGTGGAATAGCAATAGTGTATTGATGTTGTTACAAAGCAAATAGTTTTACTAGGCACTTATTATATCACTAATTTGGTGAAATGGGTTTGACACTGCACAATTGCTGAGTTTCATGCTCATTGCTTCTTTTACTTTTTAAAGTTGTTAACTTGATTCTTAAAGTCGTCTTCCTATTTCAGAGTATTCTGGTTTTCACTAAGCAAAGTATAAATGCATATTTAAACGCTGATAGTAAAAGAAAGAATGTATCAAAAATAAGAGAGAAATAGTTTAACATATATGAATGAAGCTGTGAAAAGAGAAAATAATTTATATAAGGAATAAAACCTTATAAAAAATTATATTTTGGGGAGGAAAATTTAGCTTTAAAAATTGTTTGGGAAGGCAAGTGTATTTCTGAAAAGAGATTAATAAATCAAAATTGAAGAATTTAGCTATAGAAATACTAGGACAATTCTTTGTTAAAAAAGCATAAATGTAATTACATCTATATATTTCAATGAAAAACGTACTTTGTGAAAGAACTAGAATTATGATTAGTTTGTAAATATGAGAAAGACGAATAATTTAACGAGAAAATGTAGTTTCGTAAGTTTTTATATAAAAAACAACGATAAGCCAAAAAAGTATAATATACAAAATATATAAGTTTAATACATTTTTTCGTTTGATTGTTCTTAAGTTGCGAAGATTAAAGAACCATGAGATCAAAACGAAAATCAACCCTAAGTTTAGTTACTGTTTGTGCTGTACCCAATTACAAGGTTAGCGAACACTCCCTTTAAATAATAACTAATTCTGTGAGAAATGACAAATAATTCAATGGGAAAAAGGAAAAAACTATTATTTATCTATTTTTTTACTTTATCTTCAGATCAATCATTGAATGGTGGAAATCACTGGGATTATGCCACGAAACTTTAAATGGTCTGGGGGAGAGGTGAAGGGGAGGTGTATAGAGGGGGAGGGGCGTACAGAAGCCTTTAGGTTGCAAGATTTAAATAAATATCAAATAGATCGTTATTAATTTTATTCTGACACTGTGGGTTACCACAGAAACCTGTTCACTGCTTTAAATACACATTAAGCTTGCCTTAAATACTGCTTGAATAGAGGTTTAGTAGTACTTTAACTGTCTAATTAGAACTCTTAAGTAGGAGAGGAAGGGTAGGGTAGTAAAGGAGTACAATAAACATTGTATAATGAACTCCATCTTAAATTTTGTAGTCATCATAGCTCTGTATTTCTCATCCCTTATTTTTTCCTTCCATAACTATTTTGCAGTCTTCCTTCGTTTAAACTTTGTTAAGTTTTTCTCTTGTTCTTTAATTCTTTCTCTTTTCTCATTTTATAGACTTTTTCCTTTTAGTTTTCGCTTTCTTATTGTCCTCTCTTATATCAACTCGCTTTTTCTCAATTTTCAGATTTTTTCTCTTCTTTCCTTTTTTTAAGACTTCTGATTTTCAATTTCAATTCCTTTCCTCATATTTTTTTATAAACTCATCATTGATGGTTAAAGCCTGTGGTTGAAGGACTCGTAAACTCTAGCTTTCTCCTTGTCTATGGTTCTATATATACGCTGTATAGTTCCTGCTTTCTATATTTCTACAGTTTACTCTTTCTACCATAAATACCTAGTGCCGTAAACATTGATAAACCTGTGTAGTAATATACATTAATAACTATAAAACATTGAAAAGTTTTATTTATATTTATAAATTTAGAATTTTATAGTTTGCAACTAATTCTTTTTAAAATATGTTTGCTCTGATGACCTTGATTTAGAATATATTAGTTTTAATAATTAAAAATAACTAAGTTCTTGCGAAATTTCGTGTTTTAAAAGAAAAACTAAAAGACAATAATTCCGGAATTTTCTGGTTATCACTGTATTCATTAGCTTTTAGCATAATGATTCGTACAGAGATTTGGTGATTTTAAGATTTAACGAGTATAGTGGTTTTTGGAATATTATATTTAAATACACAGGGACCAAATGTATTGAATACCGAGAAGTAGTTGAACTACGTAGACTAAGATAGTCCACTTCTTCTTAATTTGAACCGGTGCACCAGTAGTAGCTATTCATTAATTCTGGGCCGAGCTGTAAATATATACAAAATTAGATCATTTTTAAATATTCATCTATATAATAAAACAAGACATTCCTTTATATATGTTTATATATATATATATATATATATATATATGTTTATATATGTTTATATATATATGTTTATGTTTATATGTTCCATACAGCCGGCCAAACAGCTGGAACGAATGGGCTGATTTTTTGTGGAGACTCAGGGTTAGCCTGGGGTGTGACATAGGCTAAAAACAAACTGAATATTTAAAAAAAAAATTCCACGGACCACGTCGGGCTCTTCAGCTAGTATTTAAAAATAGTAAAGGAATAAGACCTTGAATATCATAGATGAAAGGTTTTCAATCTCATAAGAATTGTGTACATTAAACAGCTGATGTATTTCGCGAAATCTCTTCATGACGTCTTTGTGGGTTACTAAGTACCAATGCAAAAAATTAAAAGGGCAATATTTAATATTTTGATGAATTATGGGAATTCTAAAGTTAATTGTATAAATCAAAGTTTTAAATTTAGAAAAAGATGAAATTAAATCTTGAAACTGAAATCCTAGAGGTTTTAAGAGCCTTGACCCAGCTCCAGGTAAAGGTTTGAATTCAACCAGCTCCATGTATAGGATTGAATACAACCAGCTCCAGGTATAGGTTTGAATACAACCATCTCCAGGTATCGGATTTTATACAACCAGCTCCAGAATACAATTCCAGCTCCATGTATAGAATAGAATACAATCAGCTCCAGGTATAGGATTGAATACAACGAGCTCCAGGTATAGGATTGAATACAACCAGCTCCAGTTATTGAATTGAACAGGTATAGTATTGAATTCATTAACCAGCTCCAGGTATAGTATTGAATACAATAAGATCCATGTATATTGTATAGGGTTGAATACAATAAGCTCCAGGTATAGGATTGAATCCACTAGCTCCAGGTAAAGGATTGAATTCAACCAACTCCAGGTATAGAATGGAATACAACCAGCTCCAGGTATCGGATTGATTACAACCAGCTCCAGTTATAGGATTGAAAAGGTATAGACTTGAATACAACCAGCTCCAGGTATAGGATTGAATACAACCAGCTCCAGTTATAGGATTGAACAGGTATAGAATTGAATTCAACCAGCTTCAGGTATAGGAATGAGTACAATACGATCCATGTATATTGTATAGGGTTGAATACAATAAGCTCCAGGTATAGGATTGAATTCATCCAGCTCCAGGTTAAGGATTGAATTCAACCAACTCCAGGTATAGAATGGAATACAACCAGCTCTAGGTATAGGATTGAATACAACCAGCTCCCATGTTATTCTGTTGTTATCCTTAAGACTTAATGTTTTAAATGATTTATAATTCTTTCAATTAATGTTAAAAATGTGTATCTTAAACGCCTATGATAAGATTAAACCCCATCTATGTACTTATTAACAGTTTTTGTATCACTGTAACTGTTTCCAATGTTTAGGAACAATATCTTGATCTAGTTACTAAGGAAGAGGATGGAGCTGCAGATGTACTTCAGGATTACAGGTAACTTATTCTAACTATTCTAGAAAGAACGGATTTCTCACTCCAATTTTAGAATTTTGAAATATTTGCAACCTATTAGTGTATCCTTTAATATTTCAAATTATTTGATTTATAGCAGAATTTTTTGAAAAATCAAAGATATTGGCGAAGATATTAGTATTCGTATATAGAGTAGGAGACGAGTAATCAGTTCCTTTAGTAGAATATTTCATGTAATCAAGAAAAAAATCAAAACGAAGTTTCAAGGTCAATATAGATTAATTAAAAAAAATCTTTGAATGTTAAATTCTCATTTATCTTTATCTTTGAATCGGTAAATCAGGTCCATGAGTCTGAATCTGATCTCTGGATTAATTCTGTATCTAAATACCTGTATTTAGAACACTGTGTGAGAGAATGGTTGAGTGGGGTGAGCAGTTGGATCCTGAAATAAGAGCTGGACTTTTTGGAAACAGGTATATACAGTATATACACAGATATTCACCAGTATTTACCCAATCAAATATTTTTGCCTTCATTTTACGCCAAAATAACAACAAATATTTATAAACCATATATGTTCCACATGAAAGTTTTTATTTTAATTTCAAAAATTTCTACAGTTTTTTTTGACATATTTTAAAAATCCCAACTAAATTCAACAACTATGAAAATTTCATATTCTTTAAAGCCTACTTCATATCTCTGTTTTATCAAGTTTATTGAACCTTAACAGAACTTAACTTCTTGTTATAAAATCTCGAACATATTCAGAGTTTTGGTAAAACTTGTCGGAGTACGTCCTGCATCTCTTCTCCAACCTGCTCTTAGTGTCCTGGCAACCTTGGCAAACTTCAGGTACTAGATGCACTAGGAACTGGTTCGGAATAGATAGGTTATAGGATAAATAAGGAACAGGATGGATAAAGGATTAATTGCAGGAATAACAAAGAAAATACGGATGACAAAAAATTTTCATAAGTTAAATTTGGACTATTTAAAAGTAATATTCATAGTTTGAAATACGACATCAGGTTGCAAAGAGTAATCAGGTCCTTTTTAAGTATAAAGAAAAGAAAAGAGTTAAAAGTTATAAATATCTACGCCTGAGATAATATCGGAAGAATCCTAAGATAAAAAAGACAATGTAGCAATAATTTCAAAACTGTTAATGGTTTATGTTTAAAATAGATCCTTAGATTTTACATACGGTCCCTTTGAATGTTTTCAATGGTATTTAGAGAGAAGGATCTGGAACCACACAAAGGGAAGATTTTGCTCCGACTTGGAGAACGATTAACTAGCTCATTATCCTGGGCTCTAGAATCTCTTCAGGGTTCAGAGGACTCCAGGTATACAGATTAACCAGCTTATTATCCTAGGCTAAAGAGTCCCTACAGGGTTCAGAGGACTCCAGGTATACAGATTAACCATAATCCCGGACTCTAGAGTCCCTACAGGGTTCAGAAGACTCCAGGTATAACAGATTAACCATTATCCCGGACTATAGAGCCCCTACAGGGTTCCGAGGACTCCAGGTATACAGATTAACCATTATCCTGGGCTCTAGAGTCCCTACAGGGTTCAGAAGACTCCAGGTATACAGATACAGATTAACCATTATCCCGGACTATAGAGCCCCTACAGGGTTCCGAGGACTCCAGGTATACAGATTAACCATTATCCTGGGCTCTAGAGTCCCTACAGGGTTCAGAAGACTCCAGGTATACAGATTAACCATTACCCTGTACTCTAGAGGCCCTACAGGGTTTCGAGGACTCCAGGTATACAGATTAACCATTACCCTGTACTCTAGAGTTCCTACAGGGTTCAGAGGACTCCAGGTATACGTAACATACATATTGTTTTGATACTTTTGCATTTATTTACCAGAAGTCTTTCATCACTTGTTTAAAATTAAATACTTTTTTAAAAAAAGGACCTTTATTTAATTTCAAGCTTTTTACCAATTATATTTTAGAATATATACAATGTCTGAGAGTAGGAGTATATTTGAAAAATCTGCGAAAATATTGCAGTTTCTTTGTGACAAGGATTCAAATCTAACCAGGTAAACTTTCTTCAAAGATGGGGCATTTATTTCCGTCCTTGTTTTCTTTCTTAGGTTAAATGTCCTGTCTTATCCAATAAACCATGTTAATAAGGAATTGAGTCTTTGACACAAACTACATTTTTTTAATCCTGATATCTTTGCAATCTGATGGTGTACATCTTTGATATTTCAAACTTGATAATTAGATCTAACAGAATTAATAGTTTGAAATATCTAAGGTCTACGACATTGGGTTGTAATGATATAGGGATTAGACAATCAGAGTTTGTGACAAAGACTCAATTCCTTTGTGTGTGTGTTTTTTTCTCAGGCAAAAGTTTAAAGGGTTATATTGTGACGTAAACTAAAAATTACGCAGACAGACCCTTTAAAATTAAACTGTTCACTTTATGCAATTAGAGGTAATGTTACTGGCATTCAAACCTAGCTCTGGGAAAAGGACAAGGTTCGGTGAATTTATTATTCTCCGGGTTCTTCTCAGAACAGAAAAATATTCCCTCCTGTTTGGGGTTAGTTTCCTTCTTTCAAACTATTCATACAAATAATCTACTTACTTTTTCTTTTGCGAGTTTTTTAAGTGCGCAATTTTTGATTCAGACGGTTCAGCCGTTTTTACATTAAGCGTATACAAACATGGAAAAGCAAGGTATATATAATATATATAAAACAGTAAATAATGTAATTATGATAAGAAAAAACAACATAATAATCACGGCATGAAACAAAACATTTTAATTATGAAATATGTGCTAAATCTTTATAACCCTCTTATTTTATGGGGAGGAGGGGGGTTGATATTTAGTGGGACAATAATTACATAGAATCAAAAACTTGCTTTTGTTAGAGCTCTGCTTAAAGCATGCGTAGCACAAAACCTTTTGCTTTTCAAGGCAGGTCCTACTATCCTACTATCCTATTATTCTACTATCCTATTATCCTATTATCCTCTTATTCTACTATTCCACTATTCTTCTATCCTATTATCGTACACTATCCTACTTTCCTTCTATCCAATGCTATCCTACTGTCCTACTATCCTACTATATCCTACTATCCTACTATCCTACTATCCTACTATCCTACTATCCTACTATCCTACTATCCTACTATCCTACCATCCTACTGTCCAATGATAGGATACTAAAAATGAACATAATTGCAGGCATATAATAAGAAAACAAGAATACATAAAAGAGAGTCTTCAAATTTTCATGAACAGATTTAAGAACAAAACTTTTAGGTAAGAATAAAACATTATTTTAAGAAATTGAACTAATTTTTTGTCTCAAGCTTTAATTTTCTAATTTTTTTTTTGGCACTTGATGGTGATATATAGTTTGAATAATCAAAGGTCTACTAAATCAGGTCACAAAGGTTACAAAGGATTTGAAAAATAGAGTTTTAAGCAAAGGTTTGTGTAAAGGAGTAATCCGAGTAATATCTCAATATAGATATCTATAGATATATATGTAGAGATCTATATGAGAACCTTGAATCTGAGGAGGAGTATATCTCTTGATTTGAAGCATACAAATCGAAAATTCTATCTACCTCAGCCTACGCTGTTCAATCTACATCTTGAGCTTATCTCAGAATAAATTTTCGGCCCCCACCCTCCTCCCCTTTGCACGGATCTCTTTCAGAAGAGGGGAAACTACCCTCTCTTCACTTTGGGTCCTCCAGGTAGCTTCACCCAGGGATGAGGATCGAGAGATCTGAAAAAATTTGTATTAATAAATATGAAAACTGAGAAGCTGTTCTGATTATTGCTTTATAGCTATATATATTTAGAGATCTATATGAGAACCATGAATATGAGGAGGAGTATATCTCAATATAGATATATATATATATATATATATTTAGAGATCTATATGAAAACCTTGAATCTGGGGAGGAGTATATCTCAATATATATATATATATATTTAGAGATCTATATGAGAACCTTGAATCTGAGGAGGAGTATATGCGAGATGAAGAAAGAAAACTTATCGCTGTAATTAAAATACAAGTAAATACAAAATATTTTGAATTATCATAAAAAATGTAAAAGGTAAGCTTGGAATTTAATTCACGCAATCTTTTTAAATCTTCACTTAATTCTTTATATCTTGCATATAGTATAACTGCATTTTTTAACCGTTATATAATTAATAATAAGGAATTGGTTATAAAGTTTACGGCGCCAATATGACAATATGGAGTGTATACCCTAACCTGCTGCCGACAACACCTCTAATTCCCTGTATCCAATACTAGAAATTCAGCTGACCAGCTGAGGTATGGCGGGAGATTTACATCCAACACAATGAAGATCACTCACCAGCTCCTAGAGTTATACAATGTTGGTGTAAACGCTGGCCTGGATTTGAAGCTGAATCTATGGACAAGGGATGGGGACGAGTTTTTTTCTTTTTCTCGCCTTCCTGGATCCAAGCATCAGAGAACCAGGACTAGGAGCAGAAGATGGAGAAGTTATGGACGGGCGAGAAATACCTCAAAGGATGTTAGATCCCCCTTGCAGGCTGCAGGACCCTCCCAGGTGCGTGAGAGGTCCCATCTGCAGTTAGCTAGACCCCGCCAGGTGGATGAGAGTTCCCAACCGCAGGTAGCTGGACCCCCCAAGGTGCGTGATAGGTCTCAACCGCAGGTAGCTGGACCCCGCCAGGTGGATGATAAGTCCCAACTGTAGAAATCAGAGTCCCCTCTAGAGAATGAAAGAAATCCAGCCCTGACTGTGAAAACCCCCTTGATGGAGGAGAGAATCTGCAGGAAAGGGTTAAGGCGCCATTGCAATGATACAAAGTACCCAAATCCTCTTTTCTTGAAAAACCTTTTACTTCTTTTACACCCTCCTCCTATATACCTCAGTTAGACGGTGAAAATGAACCTGATCCTGAACCTAATCCTGAACCTGATCCTGAACCTGATCCTGAACCTGAACAAAAAAGCGACCCTAATCCAGAGCAGACCCTGAAACCCCTAATTAAAACCATTCCACCTGAGCTTGAACCCGCGCCTGGCCTGAATCCTCCATCCAATATTGTGAATCCTATGTTTGGATTTTGTCAGGATACTACATGTTTAATATGTCCCGATAAAACCACGGAAAAAATCGGAAACTATGATGCCTGTTTTCCTAGTACAGATAAATCAATACCAGGATGTGAACGTGTACACTGGCATTCTAAGAATACACTCTGTTTTACAGCTGGTGAATTCAAAAAAACTAATATGTGGTAAAATTTCTCTGAGATAATTGTAAAACTTTATGAAATCTTTAATCTTTAATCACTGAATAAATATTTAGATCTTAAAAAATATGACAATAAAAAGTTTAAATACTGAAAACGAGAAAAAAATTTAATAATTACATTTTTATTCTAGTCTACTGTTAGAATGTGGAGACAGAAAAAACTTTGGAGAAAGCTCAGGAAATATATTCTTTTCTTTTCTAGGTTTTCCCTCAATCTTTTTAACTCCTTGTACCCCCCCCCCCCTTTCTTCTAAATAAGAGAAACCTGTCGTGACTATCTATCTGTCTAATTTAGCCTAACCTTTGCTTAACGTGGAACATTAGAACCCCCTCAATTTCTTTACAAACTACAAATACAAATAAATAACAATTTTTGCATGATTTTTAACATTGTGCTTCCAAAGAAATTGAGGTTTAGCCACAAACTCAAATTTTTCTAATTCCTATTATCTTTGGAACCTGTAAACCTTTAATATTTCAAGCTTAGATTATTTAATTTAACATAGTTCATAGTTTAAACTATCTAAGGTCTACGAAATTGGGTTGAAAATTAAGAGGGATTAGAAAATCAGAATTTGTGGCAGAGACTCAATTCCTTTACCTTCTTTGATACTCCCCCCCCCCCTCCCTCACCTACGCTTTACTCTGCTTAGAGACAAGTTCTCATTCGCTGCTCCCTCCCTTGCAATTCTGCTCAGATGGGTTTCATTAAAGGGTTTCCTTATAGGGGCTCACTGGTTTCATCATTTAATGGACCTTGTTGTTGCAAAATATTGAGATCTGCATTAAATATGGTTGGAGGAAAGATAGGTTTGGAAATCGGCACCGAATTCAGACTTGAATATTTTTGTTTTTCATTTCTTTGTTTTTGATATATACTCCCGATTTTTGTGCCAAGGTCGGGTTCCGGGTGTTTTATCTTCTCCAGGTGTACTGTACATCAGGGATAATTTTTGATGGTCCTGGTTCCGCCCCCTCTCACCCACCACGCCTACATATAATTCCAGTTAACGATGAATTAACTAAATGAACTCGGCACAGTTTACTCCTCTATTTTACTCTGTGGTTTACAACCCCATATACCCTTAACCGTAGACACAGGACCATAAACCTAAACATGCATCACATCTTAACGATAAATAGTTATTTGTAAATCCTTATTTTTCAATCCGCAATATTTCAAATCACAGGTTACTCAAAAAAAACCTGAGTAACCTGATGTAACAGTTTAGTTACGTGACTTTCTATCAAAATTTGACCGATGAAACATAAATTTTTCTCTTTTTCTCGCCGTAGTCGAATCAGAGACCAAAACGCGGTTGGAATTAGAATTGAAGAAATAGAAAACATATCTCCTTGTAGTATTATTTAAGATGCCGGAGATTAAGAAGAATATATCGACAGGAACGGAATGATCGCTTGCCAAAGATTATACCGGAGAAGAAGAGAGATATCAGAGTCAAACCTTACAACTACTCCGGAGCAATCCTTCAAGAAGGAGCTAACCAGGATAAGTCTCAGGAAACAAGGACTAGAATATAAATACAGGTCGGAATACACAAACCTGATAAAAAAAGAAAAGATATAAGGTTTGTAAAAGTAGAAAAAAAACTGAAAAAAGCTTATGAAATTTTAAATAGCATTAAAGATTTCACTAATTAATATTTCATAAAATTTCTTTAAGAATGAGCTGGTTTAAAGAGGGTATCAGAACAAAGAAAGAAATTAATAAAAATTAAAAGAGAGAAAATTGTTAGAATATACAGATGTATGAAGAATGTAAACTAGCGAGAAGATGGTTTAAAAAGGGGAAATAAAAATATTTATAAAAATATAATTAAGAAAAAAGTGAGAAAAAAAATAATTTACACATTTCCGACCGTTTAGGAGATTGGAGAGGATTGAACCAAGAAGATTTGGAAACTTTGTTGAATCTGAACAAGTTCAAGCAGCATCCAGGATACAGGTACAAAACACATAGTGTCCAGGATACAGATAAAATATATATATATTGTCCAGGATACAGATAAAATATATATATATAGTGTCCAGAATATGCATTACAGGCATTTACACTGAGAAATTCACGTTCAACATAAATCAAAGTTCAAGTTGGGCCCGGTCTTTAGGGTTGATGCATTTTATTCACAGCTGTATAGATCACCATGTGGCCTTGAGCACCATCTATATTCTTATTCTCTATGATAGAGATGGTGGAGAAGAAGGAAAGGGGAGGAGGATGGAGGTAGAAAACAAGAAGAGGAGAGAAGGGAGAAAGCAGTTAAAATCATACAGGTAAATTCTGCTCTGCAAATTTAAGAAGTTCTTTTTTACAAATGTGATTTCTAAAATACGAAAAAAATTTTATCCCCTTTAATGACCCAAGAAAGATTTTCATTTTATGCTACAATGTGGAATTATTGGTTCCACTTTGAGATCTCGTAGCTTCTCTAGTCTTTTCTACAACTTAAATTAAGAAAAATAAACTTGTTTGGTTGCTTTAAATTATTGATAACTTATCTTATCAATAGATTTCAGGTTGGGTTTGAAAACATTCAATATTTCATTTTAAAATGAATAATAAATGTGATTTATTTTCAGGCCGGGGCGCGAAGATGGCTGGTGCTCCGACGGTCAGCTCCTGTTTGGAGTCAGCTGTTGGCTCCCAAAGTTATCTCTGAGGAGAGAGCCCGTCAGCTGCAGCTGGAGATTGATATTTGGCAGCAGAAGACTAAACTCTGGGTAGATAGGGAGGAGACTACTAAACTTCATGTAGAGGTAATCACTGCTTTTATTATAAACCTCAATCAATCCCTTTTAAACCAATGTTATGAAATTCTGATAAAATGATGTTTGTTGTTTTAACATATTTTTTGCTAAACCGTCCAGTATACATACAGGGTTACCCACAAAGAATGAGACTTCGGAGACGACTGTATATTCATGATTCCCAGCAACTGTAAACCTGTTTTTTTCTTTTCAAGGCAGAATACTTAATTAAACATTAGAATCATTATATTTATAGTCTCAGGCCGGCTTTACAGTACCATCCCTTGTGGGTAACCCTTTATATAAATATAAATATATATATCAATACGTCTTTTCAATCTGATGACTTAAAACTTTGATTTTCAAACTTTGACTATCTGTCCCTGTAAAATTAATAGTTAGAAATATTACATGGTCTAAAGACTTCAGAGCTGGGAACTTTAGAATGGATACTCTTTAATCCCAACTACTTAATCCGAATATCCACTGTGGAAACTTTTAATTTTAGTCTTAATTCACTCTTTTTCTCTCTCTTTGGATATCCGTACATTATTTTCTCCAATAAGAGTGCAGGAATATAGTTCGTAAATTGTATTGACCAAAAAAATAAATTCTATCCCATCAGAGAAATCCTCAATTTTAACAATTAAAGAATTTGTTGTTGGCCATTTTGTAAATTAGTCGGTGAAGAAAAATATTTAATAATACGTTGAAACCAAATTTAACTAATGTATTAATACATGAATGGGTGAGAAATTAAGTGAAGGCCCTTCCAGCCGAGAAAACGAACCAATCTGGCGTTCTTAGAATCCAATTTGTTGATCATAATCTCGAGATTCGCAAAAACAGAGGATTAAGCATTAATCCTGATATCCACCATTCTAAAGTTCCCAGCTCAGAACTGGGAACTTTTGAATGGTGGACATCAGGATTAATGCTTAATCGACTCTTTTTTAATCTTTAGATTAAATTACGCTTGTTCTCCTATTGTTATTGATCTCCAGATTAATTAAGCAGTCAGGATTAAGGATATCTCATTTTAAAGTTTTCAGCTCAGGTTGCACAAATCTAAGGATAATGAAATAGAGTTTGAGTCATGTGTTCGGTTACTGTGTCCTTCAAATCATCTAAAGAGATTTAGGTGGTCATTAAAGTATAATCCTTCATGGGAATACTCTTCATGAAAAATAAATAGTTTCCTAGACTTAAACCTGGAAATTTATCGTAGGCACAGAACAAATACAGAAACTTTCTTCTCACACTGGGTTCAAGACGCCTAGCAGAGCATAGGTATAATAAAACAACAGCTTAGATGTTTCTTCTTCTTTTTAATGGCAGAATACTAATTTTAATAATTCAGCCACAAACTCGGATTTTCTTATCCTTATATTCTTGCAATTCAATGCAATAGACCTTAGACATTTCAAAATGTCAATTCTGTGAGATCAAATAATTCAAATTTAAAATACCAAAGATTTACACCACCACGTTGCAAAGATATAGGAATTAGAATTGTTGAGTTTGTGACAAAGACTCAATTTCTATGCGAATTTGGCATTACAACAAGCATGGGTAAACAACCCTATGATAAAAAAATCCATTCAAACATATCCAATTTTTGCGTATAATTATTCAAATCAGATCTTATTTCATCTTTTTCTTTTGGGAATTCTAACACTCGTTTTTAACTTTCTATTCAAGTTTCTTAATTTCATAGATTTGAAAAGTAGTAAATAATTATGTTTCAGTTTCCTCCAGTTTTCATATTACGCCCAAGGAAAAGTTTTTGCCACAAACTTAAAATTTCTTATTCTACGTCTTTGCAACCTGATGGTGTAATACCTGTGATATTTCAACTTTAGATTATTGATCTAACATAATTCATAGTTTGAAATATCAAAGGTCTCCTACATTGGATTGAAAATATATAAGAGTGTGGAAAATATATAATATCTTTATTAATGCTTGAAATATCAAAACTAATTACCTAGGACGGGAGTTCTTCGAGCTCAAATTGGTGAAACATCACATGTTTTACGCACTGCTCCGAAACTTCATGAATACAGGTCCATTTTTATTAGTGAAAGAAATTGAGTCTTTGATACAAACTCCACTTTTGTAATCCCTATATCTCTGCAACCCAATGTCGATGACCTTAAATATTGTTGGATCAAATCATCTAAGTTTGAAATATTAAGGTTTTCACCATTAGGTTGCAAAGATATAGGGATTAAAAAGTTTGAGTTTGAAGGAGAGACTCAACTTCTTTTTAATAGTAAAAAGACAAAGTATTGCTTAAAATCAGTATATGTGCAATAAACATGAAGATAATGATGTTTATTTAACAGACCTGATATGTGGAGCACCTACCATACTCTACCTCTACCCCTAGCAACAGCAGCAAGGGTAAACCATCAGGTTAGTATAAAGATAAGGATGATACATTAATTCTGAATTCTGATTACAGAAACATAAATATTTAAAGAAATTGTTGCAAATCTTATATGATCTCCTCCAGCGTCGTATTAGGATGTGTTATGTTTGTTATCCGCCAAAGGAATTGAGTTTTTGCCAAAAACTCTGATTTACTAATATCTTTATCTTTGTAACCCAATGTCGTAGACCTTAGATATTTCAAACTATTAATACTTATGGATAAAATAATCTAAGTTTGAAATATCAAAGGTTTGCGCCATCAGGTTGCAAAGATATTGGGATCAGAAGATTTGAGTTTGTGGCAAAAACTCAATTCCTTTGTAAAAGAGAGATGTTACAAAAAAGTTGTTACATGTTCTCCCCTGGGTAGCATTGGATGGCATGTCCTTTGAGTTTACCGTTTCAATGCAGGAGGTAGTTTTCTGTCGATTGTCGAGACGATTGTTGTAAATCCACCAAAACTCAGGACCATAGACAACACCGAGTTTTTCGGATAGTTTACAAGATACACAATTTTTAGAAATTAAGATCAAAAATAAATCATTACACCTCTGAAAAAGGGGTCTGAGGACAGAGAATATTCGATACTTTCTACCATAATAATCATACGGGAGATTGTGGGTTTACCAGCAAACCTGGTTTACCTGTAAAGAAATTTAGTTTTTTTCTGACCCCTATGAATTCTGTTAGAACAAATGTTGTTTGAAATATCTAAGGTTTACAGCAACAGGTTCCACAGAGACAATGTGATTAGATAAATTTGAGTTTGTAACAACATCTCCGTTCTTTTCGTTGATATTTCCGCTTATTTATAAATAAAACAAAACATATTATCGCCTTCATATAAGTGTAAAATGCATTAATTTAAAAAAAATTTCCAATATTTACTTGTTCAGAGAGAATTGGAGAAGACGACCTGGCCGCTCTGGAGAAGAAAGATTCAAGATATTCTCAATTATTAAATATTATTTTTAGTTTAAAAGAAATAATTGTTTTAAAATGAGAAGATTTTCCTTGTTTAATACAGATATTTGTGCTACGTAAAATAAAAAAAATAAATATAAATCTTAATTAATAATAAGCTTAGCTGCATACAAACAGAAGTTAACAAAATAGATTTTTTCTATATTGAAACTAATCCCTATATCTTTGCAAGCTGAAAGTTTTAATGTTTCAAACTTCGACTTTTCATCTTGCTGAATTCATAATTTAAAATATTAAAGGCCTCTTCGACATCAGAGAGCGAAAATATATAAGGATAAAAGATTATACTTTAAGGCAAGTAATCAGGTTCTTTACTAGGGGCAACTTTATGTACCAGTGACCACCAATTTAGACGTGTAATGTTTCCAAAAACCAGCTTTCTTTGATGTTTGTAGAATAAGTAAATAATTAACGAAGTAGAATTTGGATTTGGAGAAAGATCTGCAATGTAAGGTTTGAGACACCAGTATGTAATTTTCTCAATCCCTAATACACTTGTAAATTTAGTGAATAAGGTGCAGAATATTTCGGCTTATAATTTTAGGGGATTGTTCGGCGTGTTCCCTCCTCAATGTTGATTTAGAAGATCAACCTGTCTGAATTTGTTTGTAAAAGATTGATGTTCTAAATTAATATTTTTACAGAGCTAGAGTTGAGGATATAGAAGGGGAATATGTTAAACAGTTCAAACATATAGTATATATGGTGCTTACTACTTTTTATAATGTTAAATACTTTTCTAAATGCTTTTTCCCAATCGGCAACTTCCCAAGTCTGTCCTAGCCGAAGCGCTCGGCCCCCTGCCCCATTCTAGGAGCAGCGGCCCCTCAGAAGGCGTAACCTAACCTTTGGGAAGTTCCCGTTTGGGAAATTGAAATCTTGGGAAGTTGGCAATTTAAACATCATTTCAGATATATACTCACGGAGTTCTCGGCTCTCAACGATCAGTCAAAGGTTTAAAGAGTACCAAAACACCGTTGTAAACCAAACTTTTCCCTTTTATGTATGGAGGGTAATTTGAAATTACGTTTTTACAGTCCTTTTTAAAGCATTGTTATTAAAAATATATCTATCAACATTCAGCAAGCAGTTTATTTTATTATACTATTACTTTCAAAGTAACACTGTGTTGGTAAACAACGATTTTTACGCCGTTAGCCTACTTCCTGAAGCTTAAAGACACGAGGATAAAAAATACGACGAAAGATACAGATGAAATTAACAGGATGTACTCCAATTCATCTTCTGTAACAGACTTGTTTTTATCTAATCCCGACTATGTAATTAAAGAAATATAAGATAAAACCGACAAACATAACAATATCTCAAACTTGAATACAGGGCCTAATTAACACGAAGATATTATTAACTGCTCCAAAGGTCATGTTTAACATAAATGTATTTGGTTAAAGCACCTGGTATAAATCTTATCTTCATTTTTTAAAACGTAGATTTTTCCCAGAAAATCTATGATATATGGAACCTGCTGTAACACTTGTACTCATGATATTTCAACTTAAAATAGATTAATGATCCTCTTTTTGACGAGAAAAATAGGTGTCTAAAGAATCCAGATATAGAGTCTGGATTTCCTTATTCGGATCCTTCCTTATATATTCTTCAATAGAGACACAATGGGAGGAGGAACATGGTCTTGGTTCAGGTTAGATTAGATTGTATCAGGGTCTAGGTTTACTTCTAGGTTAGATGAGGTTTAATCAGGGTCTAGGTTTACTTCTAGGTTAGATGAGGTTTAATCAGGGTCTAGGTCTTATAGGTAAGATTAGGTTGTATCAGGGTCTAGGTCTAGGTTAGAATAGGTTGTATCAGGGTCTAGGTCAGATTAGGTTGTATCTGGGTCTAGGTCTAGCTTAGATTAGGTTGAATCAGGTTCTAGGTCTTATAGGTTAGATTAGGTTGTATCAGGGTTTAGGTCAAGGTTAGGTTAGGTTGTATCAGGTTCTAGGTCTAGGTTAAATTAGGTTGTATCAGGGTCTAGGTCTAAGTCTAGGCTAGATTAGGTTGTATCAAGGTCTAGCTCTAGGTTAGATTAGGTTGTATCAGGGTCTAGCTCTAGGTTGGATTAGGTTGAATCAGGGTCTAGGTCTAGGTCTTGGTTGGATTATATTTGTCAGAGTGTAAGTCTAGGTTAGCTTAGGATAAAATTGGAAGAGAAAAAACAGGTGGGTGGCCTGGAGGGGAAAAAGAAAAAAGAGCCGAATGTGAACAAGGGAGTATGTGGGGGGAGGGGGTAGGAAGGAGTGGAGGGGGGGGGAGAAGAGGGGACTAGTTTCAAAAATAAACATCTCTCCCTTCAGCTAAACTTTGCTTTAGGGGAATTTCCTGGGATAGACGTGTGTAAGCTTAGGTTTCTGGTAACCATAACATTTGTTAGTAAACAACAGGAAGCTGGTCAAAATATCAGACAACAGTAAATAATTTGAAAATTAGACAAATAGACAAATGGACAGATGGACAAATAAAGATAGACAGATGGTCAGTTACAGTTAGACTGAAAGTCTAAAGCAAAAATATGGACAAATATGGACTAGGCAAAAAATTCGCATTTATGTTACGCAAGGCAATGTGTTACCTAGGCAAAATGTAGCTGAGCCTTGGATTGAAAAATGGATACAGTCACATAGACAGATAGACAGATTAACAGATTGACAGAAAGGAAGATAGACAAATGGACACATACAGATCAATAGATTTTTGTCTACACGGGAAATTAATAAGAAAATACGTATTCTAAATATATCGTAGAAGGTCCTATTATTATGATAATATTAATTACTAAACTTCGACCTTCCCCTCTCCTCCTTCACGTTCAAAACTACTTTTGCCTCCCCCCCCCCCTCCCCCTAAAAAAAATTTAAACTTTTTCATTCCGGATAAACCTTGACACTGTGAAATCATTTGATTTAATTATCTTTTTGCTTGTCCACCATTACTCCAAACCAAATATGGTGGGAGACCATGTGTTAATCCGCCATTTTGGGACGGGATGCATCGGTCCGTGGGTCGCATGACGCAGGATGATTCCAGATGATAAGTAGTTCATGCTAACACAATAATACTCATGCATATACATTCTAAACAAACGCCTACGTCAAAAAGTCAAGAGAAAACCGATTAAAATATTTTTAAAGACACCTTGAGACTTTAACTTTATATTTGAAGCTTTAATAATTATAGCATGTCTTTTCTATATGTAATATGCACCATATTATTAAAAATATATTTCACGTAAAAAAATGCTAAAATTAAAAATCCGAACAGAAAGATGATGAGTTTCAAGGTTTCGGATTAAATGAATAAGAAAAGAAAGGAAGAACAACCGATAATGTTGTCAATTGTACTATTCATTCATTGTACTAGACTTGGTGCTTCTAAATTTTACCTATCCTAGTTTTCGAGCAGGAGCAAAAATTGTGTTTTAATAGTAACTACTAAAGTGTCTTAAACTCTGATTTAGTATTTTAATTTTATTTGATTACTTCTTTAGTGACCAGAGACACGAAATGACACAAGATGTCAAAAATAAGAACGAGACCATATGAACCCACAATATTTTCGCTTCAAACAAATGTACAACGGTTTCTGGAAGAAATATGAAACTCCTCAAGGCTACTCTGCTCAGGCTGGGGTTTGTTCATATTCCACCCAGAAAACTGCAGTACATATTTCTGTAAACAAAGGGGTTGCATTATAAAGATATCGAACAGATGAATAAAGCAAAACAGGATATATCTAGTGCTTCGAGGTTTTTCTATTTTGTGTTATAAAATTAATCTTTATTTAAAAAAGGAGTTGAATCTTCGCAAAAAATTTGATATTTTCTATTCCCTATATCTTTTCATAACCCTTTAATATTTTAAACTTAGATTATTTGATATAACAGAATTAATAGTTTGAAATATCTAAGGTCTACCACATTAGGTTTTAAAGATATATGTATTATGTAAGATTTCGTGGTTTAGACTCTTTTACGGAGCAAACCCGCTGAACCTTTCCTTGCACTTTATTTTTATCTAAGGCAAGTTTAATACAAGTAAAGAAACGATTGAACATGTTTGCTTCTTATTATTGTATTATCATGTGTAATAAACAGAATAATCAAATAAGAATTGTATTTTGATTATTTTATTATTATTTCAAACAGAATGATAAGATATTTTGGTCTTGCCAATTGTACCTTGCAAATTGTAAACAATTTGGCAACAAACCAATTTTGTAATAATTCAAACGATGAATTGCTAAAATATTAAATTGTTTTGTGTGTTTTATAATCTTGCTAAATTGATAAAGGGTGCATAACTACAATTAACTAAGCTGTGGTTAAATCTATCAGAAAAAAATGTAATTAAACAGATTGTTGCAAATGTTGAAAATGTAACTTTGATCGACTATTCATCAATCACTTTCATTAAAGTTCATTTTAGAAATGCGTAGCATTTTAGAAATGTGTAGTTAGATAAGGAAAATATGTGCAACATGTAGAGAATAAAGTGAAGAAATAAGATGAGAGAAGAATGAAAGAATATCAAAAGATTAAAGATGAATGAACTAAGAGTAAGAAAGAAATGTTGAAGCAAAAAGAGAAGAAATCAAGTTGGTTTCGATCACGGGGAGGACATACGTTGATTCAAGGATAAAATGTTATACAATCTTTTAATCATAAAATAAAGATAAAAAATACATTTATTAATATTAATTTTTATTTTTATTTTTGGATAAAATACTGATACACGTTGTACACTCTAATTTGGAATATTGCAACCTAATATATTACAGAAGATAAGTTTACGGATGTTTAAACAATACAACTAGAAGTTTAGGTAAGAAGTTTAGGTTAATTTACAAATAGTTAAAGTTTACGTACGCTCAATATAACTAAAAGTGTTTATTTGATCTTACAAAAATCTATAAAATCTATACTAGGAATATCAAAGGTCTACTCTACAACATTGGGTTGAAAAGATATGAGGATTAGAAAATCAGAGTTTTTGGCAAGTTATATAGGTAAGTAAAGAAAAGATATGTGGATTAAATAGAAGTGCGTTCAAGGCCAACATAACTGGGCATTTTCTA